CACAGATAAATGAAGATTTCATTCATTCACATGATGTTTGATTATATGGCTAGCAGCTTTAAAGTTAACATGAACATTTTTTGTTTTTTTATCATCTTCATCAAAATGTAATAAATTGCTCCACTTCTGGAACAACTTTCACATTTGACAATGTTATTAATGTTAACTTAAACTATTAAAAATGTTCTTGGTAAATGAAATAAAAGAAATGTTGAAATGTTGCAATAAGTTTAAGTTGAAATACTAACATTTCTAAAACTAAAATTAAAGCCATGAAGAAATATATAAAACAATTTAAGCATATAACAAAATTATTAAAACCAATTTAAAATATTAGTAAAACTATAATTGTATAAAATACTAAAATAATATGCATCAATCCCTCTTATTGTAATCAGTTAGTTTTAATCAGTCATTATAGAGACACTTTTCACCATCCAATCAGTTCATCACATATAAAATCAAGTCCCAGTGACATTTTCTTGTTAAATATTGTCATACTCTAGTAACATGGGTTGTGAACACAGTTTCATGTTGACTTTAAACTGGCTCTGATGAAGAGACTGACTGTTTGTTGTCTTATTCACACACAGCACTAAGAAGCAATGACACATAAAACCTACAATAAAACTGAGATTCACAGCAAACGACTGCTGCTTCTGCTTCTTACCCGAACACTCAACTCATCCGGCTGAGAAACGACAGAGAGCAGAGAAACAACGTAAATGATGAAGAAACATTACAGCCCATGAACCTCAGTCAGAGCAGATGCTGTATTTATAATTACATCAAAGAAAGAAAGAAAGAAAGAAAGAAAGAAAGTTGCACTGAATTGAATTTCTGCCTATTTTAATTTAACATTTTTTCCCCAAATCAATGTCTCTGTTTCTGTAGGGAATCACACGCTTCTTACAGTGGTTTGCTGTTGTTTTACACTCGTTTAGTGTTTATAGTAATTAATGAACTGGGTATTAACACACATCTGTGTGTCTAAATGAGAAGGAATATACATGTTGATCGTAATCAGAAACACATCAGCTGAAGGAAAATAAACTGAGAGATAGTGCAAAATAAAAGATTGCAATCATGATCACTAAAAGCTTTACATGCAAAACAGGGTAATTATAATTAACAATGAAGCTGGTTATTATAAATTACACTCTGTAATTAAATGAGGAGCATCACCTCAAACAGCAACATTAAATCAAACACTCCTGCTGCCATCTAGTGCTGCAAAACACTCATTAATACTGCTGCTTTTGAAACAGGTGCATTATGCTTATCACGAACATCTGAATTATGTGTCTGTGTGACTTAAACGTCACTTTAATTAAACAAGTTTTTGATTTTTAAAGATATATTTGAATTAAACACTGAAGCATGCAAATGTGAGTTCAGAGGACTGCGAAGTCGACTGATCAGAAAGATAGATGCCTCATCATCATGAAAAATATTTGAGAAAACAAACAAAAATCTGTGCGAGTTATTGCTTGAGAGTTCTTCATTATTAAAATATTCTTTTGTAAAATGAGGAATCATGTTGTCAAAGTGAGGCATGTTAAAATGCACACTGTATGTCAGAGAAGGACAGACAGTATCAGGACAATGAAAGAAGAAGAGAAGCGTGTGTGTGTGTGTGTGTGTGTGTCTCACCAGGTTGTGTGTTTTGTCTGGTTCCTGCCGTGTCTTTGCTGTCTCTCGCAGCGCCGCTGGGTTCATATCGTCTCCTGCCATCTCTCTCTCTCTACGGCTGATCCGAGCCAACTCTTCCTGGACCAGAGCCTGCTCACGCTCAAACCTACAGTCAACACACACACACACACGTTTGTGTTGCTATCTTAGTGAGGACATTGCATAGACTTCCATTGATTTTCTATCAGGTTAATGATATTTTCTATCCCCTAACCTGACCCCTATCCCTAAACCTACCCATCACAGAAACATCTGCAGAACACTAGATCTACATCAAAACATCTTTTGGCTGATTTATAAGCCTTTTTAACTAGTGCGGACCAGTCAAATGTCCTCACTAGTGGGTTGACATGATCTTTCACTAAATAAGTGAGGACATTTTGTCCTCACAAGTATAGTTAAACCAGTACACACACAACAGACAGACAGACAGACAGACAGACAGACAGACAGACGCACACAGATGACATTAAACACCATTACAGAATTGGTCATGTTGAATAAGCCAACTAGCCTTGATTGTAGTGAATGTGGCTCACAATGCTTTGTTTATCATTGTAATGCATAATAATCTCAATAAATAAATATTATATTTTATTTTATTTAAACTGTCAAATATGTATGCATCATTAACTAAAACTATTAAACTATTTTAATAGTTTACACAGTTGTCTGTCTGTCTGTGTGTGTGTGTGTGTGTGTGTGTGTGTGTAAAAAAACTAAAACTATTAAAAAAGACAAAAACGCATAACAAAATTACAAAAAGTTAAAAAAATAAAAACTGAAAAACAAAAAAAACAAAAAGTATGACCACACAATTTACTGATTTTTAACAGAGTTGCAGTAGTTATTATGGCAGAGAATGTCTTCAGAAATACCGATAAAAATATATAACACACTAACCGTCTTCTGAGCTCCTCCTGTGTCTCTGCAGCAGATGATCTGGAGGGCCCTGAAATATCAAAATAACACAGTCAAATATGAGATATATAAACGAGTGCTGTTGAAGAGAGGAGCAGAAGCAGTCGTACCTGGTTCAGGTCTGGCACTCTCTGCTTTGGGTGATGATGATGATGAAGATGATGATGATGGTCCAGACTCCCGCATCCGCTGAAGAACATCTCCGGACAACTGAGAGCACAGATACACTCGCATTAAAATAACACCAACCGAGTTATGATTCCCTTTTTCAGGGACATATCTGGGTATATAAATTCACACAAATGACCAAAAACTAAAAAATGTATTAATACAACCAAAAAAACATACAGCTCTCAAAAGAAATAAAAAAAATAAGCTAAAATAATAATAAATAACATACAGCTCTCACTGTTCACAGATCAGATTGCACTGTTTTGTGTCGCTGACCTTGAGTGAGAGCAGATAAAATGACTGTAACGTTACAGGTTTCTATTTCACAGCACATTAGATCCCAGCAAACAAGACATGAGGATACACATGATCACAATGCTTTAAAATGAGCACATTTCATCATTATATCACATATGAATCCATGAAAACAGTGAAAGACTAACAGTTCAACTGATACTTTCATTTTCATGATACATACATTCATTTGAACAGCCACTGAAGTTCAAAAGAGAGACAGTTACAACAGACTTCTGTTCATAAAAGCACAATTACATCTCATAAAGGTACAGTAGTATCACACAGGACATGATTGTTATTCTGTATTTGAAGTGCAGATGTTGTTGTGTCTGTCACCTTTACTCCGTGTATGACCGTGACATTGTCCTGTTCATCCAGTCCATACGACACAGATCTGCTCCTGCTGTCCGCGGCCCCCATCAGCCCCAAAATCACCACAAACAGCCCAACAAGAGAAATAAAATCACCCCGAATGACTTCAGGGTCACTGTGTCCCGCTACGTGCGCATAGAATCATCAAACATCCTATTACGGGTTATCACGCATCACGTGACACGCGAAATGCACGATGGGAAATGTAGTTCTACTCAACACACTGACGTCACATGGAGGTGTGAAAAAAGAGAGGAAAATATTAATTTTTTGTTTTAATTGTTTGCTTGCTTAATTTGAGTTCTTATATTGAAAGCAAAACTTTTTTTGTAGTGAGATATAATAAATAGAAATTGACAAATGCACTTAATGTTACTATTTTATTATTTTTAAGGTACATTTTAAAGGTAGTTTTTTTATTATTATATTTGAATGCAATGGTCGGCAAATAGTAATACTAACATTTCATTTATTTTCTCATATTGCTGAAGATTTCATTCATTCACATGTGTGACTGTATGGCTAGCAGCTTTAAAGTCAACATGAAACAAAATAACGTGGAACAACTTCAACAATCTGATGCAGTGTTGTCAAATAAAACTATTAAAAATTGTTTTTGGTAACTGAAATCAAATCAAACATAATTATTAAAAACCTAAACTTAAAAACAAAAACTTAAACTCGTTGCAACACATCTAATTTTCATTTAAGTTGAAGTACTAAAATTACTAAAACTGAAATAAAAATGTATTAAACCTATAAATATATATTTTAAAAAAGCACATACTAAAGCTAGCATTAAAATTTAAATTTTAAAATTAAAAGCTAATTTTAAAAAATTCAATAAATACTATAATAGTAACAATAATAGTAATAGTAGTATAAATAGTAATAGTAGTATAAAAATACTGAAAATCTTACATCATCAATCCCTGTTATATAATCAAGTCCCAATGGTATTTCTGTTGTTGAATATTGTTTTTCACTCTAGTAGTTTTTTATTATTATATTTGAATGAAATGGACGGCAAATAGTAATACCAATATTTCATTTATTTTGCCTTTTCTTTTTCTCTGTTTTTTTTCTCATGTAAAAAATCTTATTTTATCTATTCAGATTTTCTGCTTTTATTTCTTACAGTAAATTTTTGTGGCATTTATTTCCTTCACATAGCAATGGTGAAACGGTGACGTCAATGAAAAAATAATCATGAAAGTGATAGACATCACGTGATGACGGTGTGTGAAGCATGTTTGATATAAAACATAAATGAACGCACGAGCCACAGAAGTATGTTCCAAAATAAAAGTTCTCGGTTGTCCGTGTGGCTCAAAATAAAGCCTCTTTGCTGGACTTAGATTCAGTGTTCATCTGACTAAAATGGTGTCTTATTTTCTGCTGTATAACATTTAATCTTTAGACTTAACAAAATAAATACCCTGATCTTTAACAAAGCATTTCAGTGAAGAAAAAAAACAAAAAATATCTTTTGAGATATGCTTCCAATAACAGGTTGCAATATAAAAAACAAACAAAGAAATAAACAGGCAGAGCAAAGCATTGAGTACAATTTGCACTGAATTTCAGATTATATTACTCATATAACTCATTTAGAGTTGCATTTCAGTGCAAAAATTAAAACTTCAACACTAAATTGCCTTAAAATCCACTGTGTGCAAATAAAAAAATAATTAAACAAAACAGCAGAGCATCCACACATCTCTAAATACATGCAGTTTAATCATAAAACATCTTCTCTCCATGTTCAAATCATGTTTAAAGAAAAAAAGAGAAATAAGCAATAAGAAACAAGCATTTTACTCAGGCCAGATTTAAATGAAGATTTTTTTCTGTGCACCAAAAAAAGTTAGGTTGTGATTAACTAGTGGTATTCCATCAAAAGTAGAAAGATGAACAAAGATCACGGTTTAAGCTTTCACTTTAAGAACTGAACCCAAGTCTAATGATGACAGGCTAAAACCAAATTCATCAGATAACTAAAATAAATAAAAATGCTTTCAAAACTATGATATAGCACGGAGAAATAAATGTTTTGACAAATTTCTAGATGAACGCTCAGCCCATATGAAGCATATGAACAGAGCCAAGGTAGATTACAGGGTCCTTAAGACTTCAAATTAGCAAGCGAATGAGCCAAATCAGTGCAAAACAACTCTAATGGCAGAAAACGAGCATCAAAACACGAGCAGATATTTTGCTGGTATCAGTAGCATAACATCGTGAAATCATCTAACGGCGATCGAGAAATATATTACATTATGCACGTCACAAAGTCCATTAAAGTTGCCTGCGGTACAGATCCGAGCACACACACACGTCAAATTAAGAGCACTGGTGTTACACAAGGAATGTTGAATTCATGGAATACAAATGAAATCGATCTTAAATAACAGCACTGACTGGGAAAAGCGTTTCCGGATCAAGGCAGTCCATGAGAAACTGAAGTCAGATGTTGGTCAGTGTTAAAGCGTGTTCAGGCGTTGAGGGCCCTCCAGCGGTCGCTGTCGATGCTGTTGATGCTGTGTCCTCCGCTGAAGGGCCCCGACACCACGTCGTCCAGATACGCTCCAGAGCCGTCGATCTGCGTGCTGGAGTACGAGCCGTGATCCAGATCCTTCCGGCCCAGACCCGAGGACGAGGTGTTGGGCAGGTGAACGTCAGAGTCCTCCGGCTCATCGATTTGTGACTTGTAGGAGAAGAGGATTTTGGGCTCGGAACTGAAGAGAGACGAGGAGGAAGCATGAAAAATGACCGGCAACACAGCTAATATAACAATAGTTATATTAGAAAACGGAGAGTTCCGGTGCTTGATTCTGATTGGCTGAGCCGCGCTCGAAGCTGTTGTAAATTACTCTACAAACACACAACTTTGTTTACTTTGTGTGTTTCTCAGCAACTACTTTGTTGGAACCACAACTGTTTCTGAGGAACTACATTGTTTGGTGGAAGAATACTGTTTTTATTAATATCATTACACTTTAGTTGCTCGGTTTTATTTGTGAAACCGTACTGCGTATATGGAATAACCATTTTATAAAAGCAATAAGCCCCGTGAAGCCATGGTTTACAGTGAATTTATAACAGCTAAAGGGGTTCACTGTTCACTCATAAATTCAAAACATTTTTAAACATACGCTTCCATTAAAAAGTATATTCAAATACATTAATGCTTCTATTCATCAAGGATGCATTAGATTGCTCAAAAGTGTAAGTACAAAAGATTTCTATTTCAAATAAATGCTGTTTTTAAGCTTTCTGTTCATCTGTGAATCGTGAAAAAAAAAATAAATCACAGTTTCCACAAAAATATTAAACGGTTTTCAACATTGATAATAATCAGAAATGTTTCTTGAGCAGCTAAACAGCTTATTAGAATGATTTCTGAAGATCATGTGACTCTTACAGAAGCCCTTTTCCACCATATTCAAAAAAACTGTATGTATTATAATTATGACATCAACAAAATGATTAAAAAAATTACTTTTAGGTCATAATCATGACTCATAACTATGACTTAGTCTCTCATAAGTTTTAGATTTTTTTGTCATAATCAGGACTTGTCATAATTATGATTTATCAAAGCATGTTTTTAGTGGCAGAAATAGGTTTCCCTAATTACAATTCCAAAATATATGAGATATAAGATAAATAAGGACAATTATGAGATAAGCCAAACTCATGACATAAAAAGTCTACACTTACAAGTCTACACTCAAGTCATAATTATGACAAAAACAATTGTGACTGTTTAGACTTTGTCAATTTTCACTTCTGTCATAATTATGACTTTTTACCTCAATACTGGCGTTTATGTCAAAATTATGACTTATCTCATAATTGCAACTTTTTATGTCATAATTATCATTTACCAAAGCATGTTGTTTTTCTTATGTGGTGGAAATGGGTTTTTATAGACACTGAAGACTGGAGTAATGATGCTAAAACATTCCGCTTTGCATCGCAGGAATAAATGTTTTACAATATATTCACATCTAAAGCAGTCGTGTCAAAATTGTAACAATATTTCACAACATTACTGTTTTTGATCACATAAATGCAGCCTTGTTTTTTTTCAAAAACATTAAAAACTCTTAATGGCCGCAAACGTTTTGAATGGTAGTACATAATGGTAATCTTTTTTACTGAGGAGATGTTATGTATGTTAACTATGAATTATTGATATACAAAAACCAGATGGTATCAGTGGCATCCAGCAAAAGTGTATCAATTTGATATATCATTTTGTACAAATGTCTAAAACCGCAATATCTGTAACCATGTTTTTAAAAACACTTCGATAAAAAAGGATTTTATTTTTATTTATAAAAGTCTGGAACAGGGAAATAACCACGTTTATCCTCTCATGGTATCAGAAGTGCTCCAACTTTGCCACATTTTTGGATCGTTTCTGTAAAATTCTGTTTAAAACTATCCAAACAGAAAGGACTTCCACAGACGTCCAATAGAACGAGTAAAAGCTTGTAGAATAATATGACGGTTGGCCACATTTGCTAAGAGCAGTAATGTCTTTAAGGTGGTGTTTAGTGCAGTTTTATCACGGACAACAGCATTTCTCTTGCTCTTTTAAAGTAAAGAGTTTGACATGGCATATAGAAACACTCACAACTCGAAACTTCCCCATGAGGTCACGCACGACTGCTTTTGGAGCCTGAATTCAAAATAAATCCTACAAAAGTGCAGAATATGGCATTTTGCGGAAGTTGAAACCCACAGCAGCCTATTCATCTGCTCTGTGAACACAGTTCCTCATGCACAACTAAAGCATGATAATATGTCTCTGTCTAGAGGCTGCATCGACTGAGACGTCTGTAATATCCTGTGACTGAATCACAGGTGGATCTACTTACCCGAAGAATCCTTTGAGGAACGTCACATAGATCAGAGGAGCAAAGACGGAAAAGTACAGGAATGTGGTCACATCCACACAGCTGCAAACACACAGAGAGGAACAGATACACAGAAAACTCAGTTTGAAACCATTCTGGTAATCTGGCATCCATTTAAATTTAGAGACAATTCATTTGAAGCATTTGGAAAAAGGTCAAATAAATAAATATGATGATATAAAAAAGTTTTTTTTAGTAAATATTTTAGTATTTCTAATATTATTGTAGCATTCTCAAATCATGAGACAAACATTCTCAAATTCATTTCACAAACTTTTCCCTCACATTTTATGCAAATAAGACAATGCATATTATATGTATTATAATAATATATTAAAAACAATTAAATTAGATGAATTAGAGAATCCAATTTTTGGGGGCTTTATCTATATGCACCTTTTAGTATAAAGAGCAGGACATATTGCCAAATATTTGCTATAACAGATATAAAGATAGCAGATGAAATTTAGACAGACTTTTTAAAATCAAATTAGTTTACAAAATATATTTGAAAACTATTACAAATTGCATTATCTAACACTAGCATTTCTGTTAAGTGGCTAACTGCACTGCTCCAACAGTATACCCTAGTAAAAAAAACAAAACCTATCCCATAATTTATTTAAAATACATGTTTCCATACTAAGTATACTTCAAATCCATTAACATATCTATTGACATATCAATTAAAACTTACTGATATAAAATTATAATTAAAATTTATTTGGAGTATTTCTTTAATGCACAATGCACATCTCTTAATATTATGCCTAAAATGTGTTTTAATATCACTATTAATAAGGAGTGTATGATCTCTGTATAATATGAGTCTTTATATGCAAGATATTTAAAGTGTACCTCAAGTATCCTTGCAATAGTTCCACTTTAGCAGAATCAGATATACTTCAGTATATCTTTAGTTGGACTTCGGCACTATTTCTGCACAATTAAACTGCATTAAGCACAAAATCAGCTGTTCCAAATTTAGCAGACTTCAAGTATATCAGTTTAGTATACTAAAAGTACGCAAATATATCTGTAGTATACTTAGCACTAGTGCTGTCAAACGATTAATCGCGATTAATATATAGAAAAAAATATATATTAAAAAACAAATACTAAAATGTATTCGAAATACATTTATTTTGTGCTGAGTAGTGCTGTCAAACGATTAATTGCGATTAATCGCATCTAAAATAAACGTTTTATATAGAAAAATCTATATAGATCTATATCTATATAGAAAAAGATATAGAAAAAAATATATTAAAAATTGAAAAAATAAAATACTAAAATGTATTCGAAATACATTTATTTTGTGCTGAGTAGTGCTGTCAAACGATTATTTGCGATTAATCGCATCTAAAATAAAAGTTTTATATAGAAAAATCTATATAGATCTATATCTATATAGAAAAAGATATAGAAAAAAATATATTAAAAATTGAAAAAATAAAATACTAAAATGTATTCGAAATACATTTATTTTGTGCTGAGTAGTGCTGTCAAACGATTAATTGCGATTAATCGCATCTAAGATCAGTTTTATATAGAAAAATCTATATAGATCTATATAGAAAAATATATAGAAAAAAATATATACAAAATTGAAAAAAAAAATACTAAAATGTATTCGAAATACATTTATTTTGTGCTGAGTAGTGCTGTCAAACGATTAATTGCGATTAATCACATCTAAGATAAGTTTTATATAGAAAAATCTATATAGATCTATATAGAAAAATGTGTACTGTGTTTATTTATTATGTATATATAAATACACACACTTAAGAGTATATATTTTGAAAACATTTACATGTATATATTTATATTTTATATTATATATAAATACATTTAATATATAAACAACATATTTTTCTTAAATAAATACATGCATGTGTTTGTATTTATATACATATAATAAATATACACAGTACACACACATATATTACATAAACAAAAACTTTTATTAATCTCATCTAAGATAAGTTTTATATAGAAAAATCTATATAGGTCTATATAGAAAAAGATATAGAAAAAAAATATATAAAAAATTTAAAAAAAAAAAACTAAAATGTATTCGAAATACATTTATTTTGTGCTGAGTAGTGCTGTCAAACGATTAATTGCGATTAATCGCATCTAAGATCAGTTTTATATAACAGCACTACTCAGCACAAAATAAATGTATTTCGAATACATTTTAGCATATTTTTTTCCCAGTAGGGTAGGTTTGACAGACAGAGATGAATCCTCACCACAGGCCTTCAATGATGTCGGCACAGAGCAGCGCGCTTCCCAAACCCTGAACCAGATTGAGCAGGGACAGGATGGCAGCGTACATGTAAAAACTCCTCTTCGCTGCGGCACGAGAACCAGAAACACATTCTCATCATCATCATCTGAATGCTTCCTGCATGATGAACACTGCGTTTACTCACATGGTAACGAGATCCGCTCTCTGACTGGAGTTTTAGGTAGGATGACTATCAGGGAATACACCTAAAACAGATTATATCGCAGAATAAAACATTAATAATTCAATATATAAACACAATATGGTTTCATAAGAAAGGAGAAGTAATTGATTAGATACCAGGAAAAAGAAACAGGAACTGGCCAACCAGAAGTGGCGCCCGCCGTGGCCGTAGATGTTGAAGTCTTTGGCGGAGAGATGTTTGTCCGGGAAACGAATCTCCAGAGTCCCCTGAGAGAGCAAGAGATGGCTGCATTACAGCAATAACTCACTAGAAGTGAATGTATCACAGCTAAGTGTGTTTTTACACACATCGGCACTTAAAACTCATTATTTATCAGTTTGAATTAATCAGATTATTAACATCCAACTCAACAGATGCTTTTCAAGGACATATATTCAGCCATTTTTGCTGTAATAAATGTATATAAATGTGACCCTGGACCACAAAACCAGTCATAAGGGTCAATTTTGTGAAATTGAGATTTATACATCATCTGAAAGCTGAATAAATAAGCTTTCCATTGATGTATGGTTTGTTAGGATAGAACAATATTTGGCCGAGATACAACTATTTGAAAATCTGGAATCTGAGGGTGCAAAAAAATTAAAAATACTGACAAAATCATCTTTAAAGTTGTCCAAATGAAGTTCTTAATGCATATTACTAGTCAAAAATTAAGTTTTGATATATTTACGTTAAGAAATGTACAAAATATCTTCATGGAACATGATCTTTACTTAATATCCTAATGATTTTTGGCATAAAAACAAAAATTCTAATTTAGTCCCATACAATGTATTGTTGGCTATTGCTACAAATATACCCCAGCGACTTAAGACTGGTTTTGTGCTCCAGGGTCACAAATGTGTAATGAATGGCTGCTGTGTAACACACCTGTGTGATGGAGTAAGCCAGAGACAGGACCGCAGTGATGGCCAACACACGCTTGATGCTGGACTTGCTCTCCAGATGGCCTGAGCAAACACAATCAGCAAACACCACACTTTAACAGGAAGAGCTACACACTAAAAGACCCTTTGTTTTCATGGGCTCTCACTGCACAGCAAGTTACAATGCAACAGGTACCTTTAGAAAACATGGAAATCACTGTCACTAGTGTTGCTTTTGTTAACTAAAACTGCAAAATAATAATAATAATAATAATATTTTAGGGACCAATTATCACTATTCCTAAACAATAGCATTACTTAAAAAACATAAAAAACAATTTTCAATAATTGAAATACAGCTGGAATAAAATTAAAATATAAAATATTAGACCCAAAAAAACAACAACAACGTAAAAACCTAAAAATGATAATTAAAAATGTTGAATGCTGGCTTGGCAACTCACTCAAATTAATAAGTTTAAGTGCTAACATTACTAAAACTGAAATAAAGCTAAATAGAAAACTTATTTTACTTAATTTAATTAGTGAAACTTAAAATTAAAATGACAACAAAAATATAAAAATAAAAGCAAAAAAAAAAAAAGAGTTAATACTGTGATAGATTAATAATACAAACATTACATTTTCACCCATTTGAAAAATGTGATTTTTATAAGAAACGGAATCACATTTGAGATCCAAAACAAACACAATGCAGGAACGTACCAAAAGCCAGTCCCAGTATGATGACGCTGAGCTCAATAGCCAATAAAAAGAACCTCGTGATTTCCCAAAGCACCTGTAAACACACAGAAATCACTGATGAATTCACAACATAATCACAGCACTGCGTTCATCACAGCGTCAGCAAACCTAATACATCTGACGTCAGAACAGACTATGCTTGCTTTCTGAATTCATCTTCCTGCTCTGATTATGAATGATTCATCAGTCACGTTATTGTAATTAAATAAATGTTTGTTTTACAATCCATCAACATAATATAAGAAGTTGCTCCACCTCAACTTGTCACTGACTACCCTGTTTCAATAAAAAGACTACCGTTTAAAACTTTGACGTCGGTAAGATTTGTTAATGTTTTTGAAAGAAGTCTCTTCTGTTCACCAAAGCTGCCTTTATTTGATCAAAACAGTAAAACCAGTAAAATTATGAAATATTATTAGAATTTAAAATAGCTTAGTTTAGCTTAGTTTAATAGTTTTCTACTTGAATATAATGTAAATTATTATTTATTTCTGTGATTTTCAGCATCATTACTCCAGTCTTCAGTGTCACATGATCTCCAGAAATCATTCTAATATGCTGATTTGCTGCTCAAGAAACATTTCTGATTATCATCAATGTTGAAAACAGTTCACTGCTTCATATTTTTGTGGAAACCTTGACACATTTTATATTTCAGGATTATGTGATGAATAGAAAAATCAAAAGAACAGCATTTATTTGAAAGAGAAATCTTTTGTAACATTAGAAATGTCTTTACTTTTGATCAGTTTAATGCACAAAAGTTCTCACGGTATAAACATTTTCTGACTGGAAACTTTTGAACTGTAGTATGTCAAATACAATAAATAACTTGATACTAAGTCGAATGGAATATAATGAAAAATCACAATATCAAAACAGGAATAAGTCATGTTTTGCATGTTTTAAATGTTTTTAAACATTAATTTATTTTCAGAGCAAGAGAAAGCAAAATGTAGAACAATGACTACAGAAGCTTTTGGTGGTGTCATAAAACGTCTAAAACGCAAAAAGTTGTACTTTCAGATGCAGATTTGGTAGATATTACCATAATTAATTCAAGATTGACAGAAGTCAGCGTGAAGTCCTCATGTGTGTGTTTTCACCTTGTCTATGAGTGTGGCGGCGCTGGATGTGCTGACGGTCATGGAGACGATGGCACGTGTGATTCCTACAGCCGCCACCACGAACACCTGAGTGGCACGAGAGAAAGAGTCCGTCAGAGCAAACCTGAGCAGAAAACACAAACTCCACTGCATGCAAACCTTCAGCTCACACAGGACGCTCTGCTGCTTACCAGTATGTAAAACGCCACGAATATGGGGCTGGAGGTCAGACGGATCTTAGCGCGAGCAGAAGGAAGCTTCCACATCAGGAAGACCAGGAAAGCCACGTTTGGGACGAGCAGCATCACGTCCCAGTAACGAACCCTGACGGAGAAACAGAGATGGAGAGTTACGAATCAGACCAAAACAGAGGCTTTAGTGCTGTGACACGGTGCTCATTAAACATGTTTAGATTAAACAGCACAGAAACCAGCCGTTTATTACTACAATACTAGACCACACACACACACACAGACACAGACACACAGAGACACACACACACACACACGCACAGACACACACACACAGAG